GTGCACCGTGCAAGGGCTTTGCAAGACTCAGAGAATACCCCTTATATTTTAATTCCCAATAAGAAATTTCGGCTACATTCAGAGTCATTTTTGAGCTGGACGGTGGTAAAAATAACTCTGAAAATTGCTAAATATTTATTCAATAAAGAAAAAAAATCTTAGATATATACTAAATATTATCATAAATCCTTGCCCTCATCATTTCTTTACAGGTACGGGCACTTTTGGCCGCGTTTGTTTATGCCGCGATCGCGTGTCGGAGAAGTACTGTGCCATGAAATTATTGGCTATGACCGATGTGATACGCTTAAAGCAAACCGAGCATGTAAAGAATGAGCGAAATATTTTACGTGAAATTCGACATCCATTTGTGATCAGTTTGTAAGTATATAGAAGGCAAATATTAATATTATTAGCAATGTAAGATATTTTAGGGGCTTGATGAAATGTCTTATAGACGTCTATGTATCGGTAATTTTGATTTGGCGGAACGAACAATTATTCATTAACAATATCTTTGAGCGTTTATTAGACCAAAACGTTTAATTTATTTATGCCACTTATTACATTCTCATTTAATTGTAGGCGCATATTAAATTCTAAATTTCATGGTTGCAATAACTACATAGAACGAAACTTTTTGAAGTATTGGAACAAGTACTGAATTCAATTCTGGCTAAGATAGTTGCTAGTCTTTCTTTTTACTTTCTTCTTATTTTAACTGAAGTCCCATTAAAGCGTTTTCTGCCGGTTTGTGCCGATGATGTCAGAAGGGTAGGCTATATAAAGCACTCGAAGATACATATCGGCTGGAGTGTGTAGGTGTAGAGTCTAGATCTGTAATAGCTAATCCTACTTGACTAGTGCGATAGGAGTTGGAGCAGCGTGGATTTTTATGGTACTAACACTTTGCGGTTGAATTTTTGGAGATCTGCCAGTTAGTTTTAATTATAATTTGACCTGAATTAGAAACACTTTAGTTTCCCCACGTGTTACAGCAATTGAACAGAACCAGTTTCGATCGAATTAATAAATAGCTTGGATGGCTTTTATGCGTAATTGTGCCGGAATTCAGCTGACATGAAAAGAACACATTCGGACAGGTGTGCATATTTGTCTGTTGCATATTGCTGTTAATTTCGTTCCACAGTAGGCTATGCAATTTGCTACAGATGCGCTGATGGACCCCTACTTACCAAGTGCTAACGGGAAGCGATTTTGGGATCAGGTTTCTGCTGCGCAGCTGTGCTACTGAATATGAATGGGAGTGAGACCTAGTATTTTTTGTTGTTTGGGTCCACCTCTACTTTTCCATCGTCCAGCTGCTCAATAAGTTAGCTTTGGAAATAGATATTTTGAGATTTTGGCGAGTTAAAAATTTGTGTAGGTGTTCGAGGGTGGTGAAAGCTGTTGGACTCAGTAGTAAATAACAAACTAAGTACACAAAAAAGTGATATACTAAGCTTTATAAGGAAGCGATGATGCAAAGCTAGAGCGTATTCCTCAAACTAATTCACCGGCTATACACCGCCGAAGATGTTGCGGGTTACTGCCATATAAAAATAAATTGTGTTTAGTCGTTATATGGAAGCACATGAGACAAAAAAAATCTAAAAAGCAACGGTAATCTTTAGCGACTTGGAACTTGCACTTTATTTCACTAAAATTGAATGCGCTATAAAACTGTGTAATCAAAAAAATTCTAGAGCTTCTGAGAAAAAAGTTTGAAATTTAAGTGAAAGTTTTTGTACTTTTTTGCGGTCCATGGGTTTATATGGGTTTTGCTAGAGAATGAACAATATTTTAATTTAAAATTCTTAAAAACACATAATTAAACATAAGTGGCAAACAATACCGCTTTGAAAGGGGGATGCTATTTATAGATATGCCCAATACGTATGTACATAAATACATCTTCATTTGAAACATGCACAAGTGCTTTATGTGTGGTAAGGAAGCTTTTTTCCTACTGTCAAATATCTTAGCCAAAATTAGGGACGTCAGTGGCTAGAAAACATCGATGGGTTTCTTTGATTTGATACATCGAAATATAAATCGATATTTTTCGATATACATCGATGCATCGATTTGCATAGGATTTCTCAGAAAATATTTCACAACAAAAGTTGTTATTAGCACAATTGTAAAAAATTTGAATTAAATTACTGCCGCTGAGCTAATCATGTTTCTACCGGACCAATTTGAAGCCGTTTAAATTTTTTAAAACCATTTATCTTGTTTGCACGATTGACAATGAGAAACTACAGTTCAATGTACCAGCGATGTCCGTTTTCAAGTGGAAAGTTTTCGATAAACCGAAACAAAACATCGATATTTTCGATGCATCGATGTTTTTTCGACATCCCTACCCATAATTACCCTGTTAGTCCAACTGAAAATTGAATTTCTCGATCGGAAGTCTGGCTTTACGACGGCTCTATACCACAAAGGATACGCTCCGATTGTTGAAAGACCAGTCGCTTGATTGGCTATTAGGGCATGGTGCGCAAAAAGTTTTAACCTCTTTAAGGAAGAAAAAGTTATAAAAAAGTGTAAAACTCCAAAGAAAATTGTTGATAAAAATACAAATAGTAGTTGTTGCCAGAAATAACAAATTTTACTCTCTATAGCTTCTGATGGCTTATACAGTTTTTATGAATACATAATTAGATAAATTTTTTAGCATCTGACGACCGATGTAAAGTACGAAAATTATCGTCGAATGAAGTTCAGAGCATCGGTGACAGAAAAGGGCTTTTACTATAAAAATTTCTCTATTTTTTGATTCGAAATTTTTGCCCATTGTGTAACTTATTTTTCGTCTTCTTTATCTCTCTTCCAGAGAATGGTCCACAAAGGATGACTGTTGTTTGTACATGATCTTCGAGTATGTTTGTGGTGGTGAATTGTTTACATATTTGCGAAATGCGGGACGTTTCAATAGTCAAACTTGTAAGTAAACCATGTAAATATAATCATCCCAGGCATATTGTGGTTAGCTATGCAAAAATTTAATATACATATGTAGTTATAAATAATACACATGCACTCGAATATGCAATTTAAGGAATTTTTATAACACCCAAGCTACATGTAAACAAATCCTAAATTGCATATTACAAAAGCATCTCGAACAATAAAAATATTGCAGCTATTAATTAATTATTTTATTATTAGCCAACTTCTACGCTGCTGAAATCGTCTCTGCCTTAGAATATTTGCATTCACTGCAAATTGTCTATCGCGATCTGAAACCAGAGAATTTGCTGATAAATCGTGATGGCCATTTGAAGATCACAGATTTTGGCTTTGCGAAGAAATTGCGCGATCGCACTTGGACGCTATGTGGCACACCCGAATATTTGGCACCCGAAATCATACAATCGAAGGGTCATAACAAGGCGGTGGATTGGTGGGCGTTAGGTAGGTGGACCGATTGTATGCATTAAGTGGCTTGTTGTAAACGTAAAATGAATGGGCAAACAACTCAAATGAATGCGGTGTGGCATGGAAATTTCTCGTGCGTGCTGTTATTGGTGATGTTGTTTTTATTGCGGCACAAATATTTGCATTTGTTGTTTGCTTATTTAAAACATACAAAATAGACAATTTGTTAGAGAAAAATAAAATTTTTTTTTTGTGTTTTATGTCTCGGTACAGGTGTACTCATTTACGAGATGCTCGTTGGCTATCCGCCTTTTTACGATGAGAATCCATTCGGAATTTATGAGAAAATTTTAAGTGGCAAAATTGAATGGCCGCGTCATATGGATCCGATTGCGAAAGACTTAGTTAAGAAATTGCTGACAAATGATCGCACCAAACGCTTGGGCAACATGAAGGTGAGTGTGAGTGAAATCAGAATATTCTATAAAAATAATAGAATGTTTATGTTTCTTGCATGCAAATAAACTTAGGTTATGTTTGAGAATATATGCACATATTTTATATATAGTATGTATGTATGTAGCTTATTATTAAGGTTTTTTCAAAGGAATTTTTTTTTTGGGAAATTTATATAATAGCGTTGGTTTAATATTGTACATTGTATGTACATATGCATATTGGTTTCAGATACTCGGTTTTTGATGTGTTTTCAGTAGGGTGAACTTGCCAGCGGTTATCAATCGGGATTTGATAACGAATTAGACGGAAAAAGCTAAGTCATAACCGACAACAATGGCGTTATCGAACCGATTTCCCCAAATATATAAAAAAAATCGACTATGAAATTGATGTATCGATTTTTCGCCGAATATACTTATCTCCTTCTTATTATCGAAAAGTTCTTATAGATTTTTATGTAAATTGTGTTATCGGTATATTTATAAATTTCTTGGAAAAATGTTTACCTATTTTGGGATCGATAACGTAAACGATAGAAAACTCCACATATTTTTGGGAAAAATTATCGATCGAAAAATTTATTGGTAATAAAATTGATAAATATTTCTTGGAAATTACGTTGATCAACATCGAGCTCAAAACGATATTTCCGGGATATTCGGCAACGATAACATACACGAAAGAAAAATCGATAGAATTATAGAAAAAATAATCGATAATAAAATCGAAAAATTTATTGGTAATAAAGTTGATAAATATTTCTTGCAAATTACGTTGATCAACATCGAGTCCAAAAACGGCATCCGAGTAAAAATGTGCTGATTTGCAATCTACACATTATCCTTTTAAAAGCCTTGTTTTCTCGGAACACTAATATCCCTAAATTAGTCTACGTAAGAGTAATTTTTTCCTTCAATAACATTTTGACGTAGCACTTGCCTCCTGGCTGACTTCTGCCAATTAAACAGAAATTTTGTTTTTAAATAAATTTTAAAATATACTTGAGGAAACGGCCCTAGAAGATCGTACCTCTATTAGTTCTTATTTGTTTCCCTCTTTTATTTATTTTTTTAAGTGCATGTCTATTCCTACTCGATATTATAGTAACATTTATTTGGGCGTCTTTTGTTCTATTATAAATCTAGATACGAACATGTGCACTATGTACATAACGATATTATTGAACAGACGATTTGATTTTTCTCGGCAAACTGACGTGTAATTTAAATTTGACAGACATTTGATGAACAGTTGAATGAATTCTTCTGCGCCGCGTAGCTAAACGCATTGAATACAAATAAATAGCCCTTATGTACATATATATATATATGTATGTATATGTGTGAATCGACAAGTTATGCATAATAATAAAAACATAGTAATCCGTTCTTCAAGGTTGTGATGAAATTTAGTTTTTTTTTTACCCGCCTGAAGTCTTACCTGCTAATTCAAAGTCTAGTTTATGGTTGAAGCTTTGGATTATACGATTTATATCAAAAAAACGCATAATAAGCCAGATAAGCCAGATCTTCGAAACTGCATCATGCGAGGTTACGTTTTTGACGAAATCGTTTAAAAACTGCATCTTTAGTCAAAGCGAAGAGAAAATTTTCGCAATTACATAATTATAAAAAATATTTTTGATTTATTGTACTGCTTGAAATTCTTAAAATGCTGAGTGGATTCAAAAATGGTGCTATAATATAAATATTCAAAAAACCTTCTGTATCTTCATTCTTTCAGTACTAATCATGATCACGACTGCTATGTTCTTTTCTGGCATTGTGGTTTGAAAAAATTCTAAAATTTATTCTAAATTAATTCCACAGCAATAAGCAGTAACCATTTAATATGAAAGCATATTTGCCCATAAATAAATTCAAGCATGCACACAGAGACTCGTGCATGTGCACATTTTTGAGATTAACGGGGTCTTGTGAAAGTAATAGAGGCAACAAATTGTAAATAATTTGTTCTTATAAATAAGTTTTCTAAATACAGAGCAGTATGCAAATGCAAAAATACACAAGAATACGTGCGCTTAATTACGGGCATATATTTTTTTTCGTCGGCAGCAAATATTTCGAAATGATATGAGATTCCTTTTATTAAAAAAAAACTACTCAAATACAATTTTAAAAACATATTTATGTTAATTTTTTTAAACAAAATTATTTGAAAAATTTTGGAATTACATCCAAAAAGTTTGCAGCGGTTGGATGAGGTTTATCATTAAAAAAAAATCTTGTGGGCGTCAATACGCAGCGTAGCGTAGCGCAGTAGCAGACAGGCAGAAACAGTTGGTGTACAGCAAGTGTAATGCTCATATACGAGTACAAGTATTTGCAAAAACTAAAAATAAAATTTATTGAATAAAAAAATTCGTATAATTTTATTTGCTAACTTTATTGGCTGCTGCTCGCTGCTGCTCTAGCTGTTGTTGTCAATCTCCTACCGATTTGTTTACGCTATAAAAATATTCAAATTTGAAATATGTAGCATCAAAACAAATTCACACATTTATTTAGATACAAATTATTTATATCTAATGTTATGATTTCAAATTTACTTATGTGTTTGGGGAAGAAAGATAGAAAAAATGTGTTGAGAAAATTTATGAATTTTTTTAATAAGCATCTTATTATTTCTTATAATGCATATCGACGGTTTTTATAAATGCAATACCTATTTAAATCAACCAAGAAAAATTTTATTTAAGTTAGCCAATAAAAATAGTCTGCTGCTGATAGACCAGGCACTTTGACGGGCTACTGGGGCTTAGACGACCTATCAGCCGGCTGAATATTGCCCTGGGTCGTACTTCACCTCAGACAGATTTCCGACGCTTGAAAACGTTGTGCGAAAACTACTACCTCCTGTATGTATTAGGTATTACAGTAAACTCTTTCAAGTAGACGGTTTTCACACAAGTAGCAGCAGAGCAATTCTGGCTAAGCAAGCCGAAAGGCAGATGGCAATATAGATCGATAGATTTTTATTATTCTAGCACAAAGGTTTTAGAAAAAAAGCTGTCTGATTCACCACTCGTGGTGAAAAGCTATTTTGAGCGAAAGCACTTGTACATTGCTCAAACAAACGCAATAGCCGAGAGAGCAAAGCACAGGCATGCCGTTCGAGAGATCCGAGTTGGAGCCCTCGGGAAGCGGAAGTTTTACTTGTTTTTAAATTTAATTTGTTTCCCTTTTTTAATTTAATTTCCTTTTAGTTTGTGGATTTTATTGTTTTGAAAAGAAAAATATATAGTTTTAATTTCATTACATTTTTAGAAACTTATTTTCTGCATTTTTTATTTTTTTTATATAATCTTTTCTTTCTTAATTTAATTTTTTCTTTCTTAATTTAGCTTTTTTTAATTTTAGATATTAATGTTTTTTAAAAGAATAATTGTTTTTCTTAATTTGCTTTTAATTTTTAGATGTTAGTTTTTTTAAAAGGAAAGCAATGTTTTAAATTTCATTTAATTTGTAGAAGCTTGTTAATGTAATGTTATATTCTTTTAATTTTTAGATTTTGTTTTAAAAATATTTTTATTTCAATTTTATGTAATATTTAAGTACAATTTTCTTTTTGTTTTTTGTTTTGTTTTTCAGTTTTGTTTTTTGCTTAAAAATTACTTGTTTAATTAGTTTTTTGAAAGACAGTAAAGAGCTTTCAAGATGGTTGTAACAATTGTCTTAGGAAAGACTTTTGTCTTTCGGCAAACTGTGGTAAGCTGAAAGAAAGTTACCAGAAGTGGTCTACCCAACCTTCGGCATTTTCCGATACCTATACGTACATAGGTAATGATCAATAACACAGGTCCACAAAAAAATAATCTATGAAAGGAGACTCTAGACAACGGCGGGAGTATCTGCGATTGTTGATAGAAGCATTTGTTGATCGTTTGTTGGCCCAAGGCAACGGGAAGGGCATCAGTGAAAGTCGATAAATGCTTTTCTGGTTCGTTTAGTAGCTCAAGGTAACGGGAAGTTTTATCGGTGAGAGCCGGTAGATGCCCTTATAGATCACTTGTAGCCTCCAGACCACGGGAAGAGTACAAGTGACCGTTAACGGACGCAACGGGGGATCGTTCGATAGCTTTCAGCTAAGGTGGTAACTTTTGAAGAGTGATCTTGTGTAGGCGGAGGTCTACTGAAATGGGTGGCGGCAAATGCCAGCTGTGTCCTTTCAGGCTGATGGTAAAAGTTCGGCGAAGCGGTGGATTATACGCAAGGCATCAGCACCCTTTACACAAAGTATATTTATTTTCTTTGAGGTTTTTTGAATTCATAGCTCATTGAACATATTGTTTACATGTACATACATCTTCCGAGCACACGATTCATGTACCGCACATACATTGGTACATAAATATGTAATAGTACAAAATAAGCATAGATTTAATATTGAATATGCCGCCTGCTGAAAACAAATTATTCTAATAAATTTCGTGTTTTTCTTTCAATTTCATTATTTTCATCTTTACCACCGTCGAATGGGATTTTCTAATCTCCAACATGGCGTATGCGGCTGCCAAATGTGTGCGCGCCTTCAAAACGATTTATTGACAATATGCAAAAATAACTGAAAATATATATTTTTTGGGCTCAAAACGAAAAACCAAAAACAAAAACATTAATAAAAAAAAAATCCCTCCCGCGTGGCTGCTGCCTCTGTTCGGTGTTTCGACGGCTTTTTTCTGCTGCTCTCAATGGCGCATGGGACTGGCGGCCGGCACAACAGAATGGGGCCGATGACGTGAAGCGACATCGATGGTTCAAACACTTGAATTGGAATGACGTCTACAACAAGAAACTAAAGGTAAGCGCGCAAGCGGTCAATTTTAGAATAAGCAACGTACATGTGCGCATTCTTTTTTTAATTTTTTTTTTGGTTAAGTATATACATACATACCTTTATACATATATGTATGTACGTAGGTACATAGTATTAATTTTCATTCATTAAGGCTTTGCTTTCTTTGACTTGCTAGCAAAAATAGTTTTAATAAATTTTTAATTCAAACGAACTACAGAATTTTGCTAAAATTAAATACAAATAAATTTTGCTAAATTTACTTACATGTGTTGGCGATTTAAGAGCTAATATGCTTGCAAGGGTGGGCGGAAAAAACTACCGAAAGTAGCAAAAATACATATTTTGAATTGACTTAAGGCAAACATTTTAGCGCACATTTTCCTGCAAACGACTCATATGAAAGTACTAATTTTGGTAAAAAGAAAAAAAAAATGCAGAATTAAAAATTTAATGCTTGGTCACAGCCAACTCCTACTGTGCGCTGACGTACACCACCTTCCGCGAAATTTTCATAATAATATGCCGCCGCAATACATAGATTTCACTTGAATTAACGTCACTTGCAGCCGAAGCTAGGAAAACTACGGTGGCGGATATAACAATGTGGAGACATTTGGAAATACAATTTTATAATTTTAGCCAATTAAAAATGGATTATGTACATTTGAAATAAAAATAAAAAAAATTATCAAAAAATTATAATTTTGTAAAACTAGATTAGTAAGCTTAAAACAAAATTAAAAATTTGTACCGCATAACGGAGACTGTATTTTTACGGCCGCTTTGATTAGTTTGTGGATTAAAAAACTAAAGCTGCAAATAACGATGATCGAAATATAAGAAATCCAAAATAACGCTTATTTATGATCGAGGAAATTAAAAATCGTATTAAAAGGATCCAAAATTCACTGAAAAAATAATATCAAATTTTAACGGTTAAATTGTGGTTTCTATTGTAGTGATTTTAGGCTTTAAAACATTTTACAGGTGGCAACCTTATTTTATAATAACTGAGTTAAAGCAACTTTAAGCCGATTAGTGATGTAAAATTTATTCAAAAATAAAAATTTTGGGTCTTAAAACATGCAGTTTACATTTTTGTAAAGGGCAGCCCTAATTTAGAATAATCTGAAGCAAAGCATTGAGGAACCGTTTTACAGTCTCATTCTTACATAAAGCATTAGCTTAATAAAGCATTTAGAAGCCGATTTTTGAATATTACCGATAATTTCGTGACCTAAAAATAGAAAAATTGTATTTACAAAATCTGAAAAAAATTTGTGTTTCCAGCGCAAAATAGTACCAAATTTACGCAGAAATACTAAAACTATTTTAATTTTTGCAGGAGGGAACCCCATTAAAGAATATTACAGAATAAAGCATTTAGATTACGCTTGTTATTGTCAATTGGTTACCCACTTTACAAGTACAATTAATCAACTTTTTTATATAAGCTAGAAACTTTTTTCCAAAAAAACCTTTTAATTGAAAGCGAATCCCGGAAAATATACATGAAACAATTTTATTTTTAGTTAGGTGGCAACTCTTCTTTAAGGTTACTGTTTTCTTTAAAATCTTTTCAATTGATATCTTGCCATATATGCCTTAAAAATATACAATTTAATTAATGTAATTTTTTGAAGAGTTGGTAACCCTAACCAACAAGGTTTTGGATTTTCAAATTTAATATGTATTAGTGCTCGATATCGAAAAGTTTTAGTCAGAAAATGAAAAAAAAATCAAATTTCTTCTTATCAACCCTTATATTTTTCGTGCTGCTTACAAATCAATTTTACGTTCACATTTCACTGTCCGACACTGTTCGCGGCCGCATGTGGCTTTATGAGTCTCTTATAAACCCCCAGAACATATTCACATTGCAATAAAAATAAATGTTTTCATATTTTCGCATTGTCAGCGTTCTCATTTCTGCAAAGAATTATTACGCAGTCATAAAATATACAAATTAAATTGCTATAAATCACTAGTTTTGGCATTAAAACCGAAAACTGTCTAAATTTGAACACTAAAGTCATTTAGATTTAACCGTAGCCATAGCGAGATTGATTACGTACATCAATATTTTTATACCCGAGCGCACTTGTGCACAAGGGTATTATAACTTTGTTCACATAACGGTTGTTTGTAACAGGCAAAACGAATCGAGATAGATATAGACAAATGTATACATAAATGATCAGAATGAAAAGAGAAATCGATTAAGCGGTGACTGTCTGTCCGTCCGTC